TCAAATCATCATCACAGTAAAGTTAAAAAGAATTCAGTAGATTTGCTTTAAATGATCACTATAAATGGATGGTCTTCCTTTTTCGACTGATAAAAGTAAGTGCTTTTTAGGTTAAGACAAGGCTTAATTTATCTTAATGATATGTTCTTGTAGGGATTTCATTAAAAAGTGTATTTAGTTTTGTTGAAAATATTCGATTCATGAAACGGTGTCAATAAAAAACACACACTTTTGACTTGGATGTAATATAATTGTATATTAAGAAGATAAAAGTTTATGCAGTTGGGTCGTTGAAATTTATTTTGTGTCAATTGAATTATTGAATTTATAATTTTGTTATTGAAAAAATTACGATTGGACTAACCTTTCATATAGTGTGGTCGTAGGTTTTTCAACTTTCAAAATTGAAATTTTGGGTCTTCAACCTCTTTAAATGTTTAACAGATGGCGGAAATTATTAATGTGAACATTAAAATTATACGTAACTTTCACGTGGTATAAAGTAAGAGCACATATCTTTGAGTGGTTTTTCAACTTTTAATCTCATAGAGTTGCGTGCATTTAATTTTATGACAAAATAAAGTTTAAATGGATTTGTAATTTTTTCTTTCTTTTTGCTTTTAGACACTCTTTACCCAACCAAATTGACTGCCCCATCAAACTCCACTGTGATAGATTCGAAGGTGTAAACAAGAAATCAGAATGTTTTATATCCTACAAACAGAAAATACATTTCCTAATTAAAATTATTGCCACAAATAATGCACACTTTATATACAAAATAGAATTTGAATTTTCTAATCGAAGTTACTCTAAAAGCACAAAACCCAGGTACTACTAAGAACCTTTTATATGTTCAGTAGTTGTCTAGATCAATGCTCGACCGAAGTAATGAAAAGAATTAGTAGACATCTTAAACTTTATTGAGAATAAGTGAAGACCCTTAAATTTAAGACAAATATTTTGTAATCCCCTTTTTCAAGGAGTCAATCAAAGCAATTCACATAGCCGAACTTAAAGTTATAAAAAAGAGACTTAATCTGTTATCGTTGTTTGTAGCTCATTTTAAAAATATGTACAATGCATGCTCGATATACATTTTGAGATATAATAATGAATAAAATTAAAAATAAAAATAAAAAATTCTTTGGTAATACCTTTGAATACTATTTTATCTTTCCACCAAAACTAATTATTTAAATAAACTTATATCCTGCAACACCTCACATGGAAACTGACATTAATAAGAGATGTTTACACATCTGAGTAGGGTTATCAATGTCACGCACTTCACAAACAGGCACCTTGAAGCTAGCATGTTAATAAAGTGAAGTTCTTAACTAATAATGTTTAGTTTTATGTTGAAGTATCTTTGGCGAAATCTTATTTCAATGCCATTTTTGAGCTTTCTAATGATATTGGAGTCTTTAAAAAGCGAGTTAAATGATTATTTGGTTCACCATGTTGGAATGATTGAAGTATATATAACGAACAAAAGTTTGACTAAATTGTGTTTCTTAGTAATATTTAGTGAGACGAAATATTCCTTACTAAAAATGTCATTACCATTTTATGACTTGCAAGTTTGATTACCACAAAGAGAACAAGAGTAAAAGCATGTGAAATACGAATTGAGATCTAGTGCATGTCTTGAATTTTTGTCTCTCGATACATTTTTGACAATTTGATACATCATATCCTCTTAACAAATGAGAAAATGTGCAATATGTCTATATGTCAAAAATGTGTTTGTGTCTTCCCATTTGATAAAAAATGTGACAAGTCGACGTGCTAAAAATGTATGCAAGGACATGTAAAATACCTGCTAATTATCTTGTATGGTATGAGAGTTTGAAAGTTGAATATATTCTATACCTCTTTTTCTTTCGTCCATACACTTCGTAGTAATTCTTATTAATAAAGTGTTTTGATTTGCCCAAAAAAAATTGTGAAAGTCTCATTGCTATTGGTAAAATAGATAAACAAATTAACAAATAACTTTTTTGAAAAAAAAAAAATAATAATAATACCGCTAAACTCTTGGCCTCTATTGTGCACATTTGACACATTGCTTAAATAGTATTTTGATAATTACATAAAACAGACCAATTTTTCTTGCATTCATCGTCACAACTAATTTTTAATTAAATTGTTGGGGTTATAAAAGAAAATAAAGTCAAGTCTTTAAGAAAACATTTTCTTTTAACCACCCTTGGCCTGCAAAATATTTTAAAATAACAAATCATCTATCTATATATTACAAATGAAATTAGAATATAGAGAAAATCAATTTCATAAAATATCCAATTAAATAATTGGAATTTCTAGAAGTTATTTATTTGAATAGTATAAGAAATAGAAAATATGGCTCCTCACTTGTACAGTGTGGAATGATATAAACTTTCAACAACATTATGTCTTGATACATTCATCTAATTAAGGGTTCAAGGGGTCAGATAAGGTGGTAATAGAGTCAGTGTAATCATAAAAAAATTATAATAATTATTATTTAAGTTCAAATTGCAATTAAAATTAAAATAATTGCATAAATCACGATATTTCATAAGTACGAAAAATATTGAATGTGATACCATACAAGTGAGGGCATTAAAATAAAAGTGTTGAGAACATTAAAGACAAATTACACACGAATTCTATTAAAATATCTTTTTAATTTTTAGTGAATTCAAAATTTGACCGCGTCTAAGACCTTTAAACGTACTATTCTACCCGACCACTGAAACTATGAAATCTAACCACATGGCAACCTTACTAATATATAAATAAAATGGATAACTACGTAGTACTTATAGTAGACCATTATGGTCTATACAATAATACAATTTAAAACTCCAATAATTTGTAGAATGTGTCACTTTGTGTAAATAATTCGTATGAATTTAAAATATAATTGAGGTGTCGGGGTGCGTAGGGTTGGATTAGCCACCGTATAAAATTTATTTTTGAGCTATTATAGTGGGATTCATTTTCTGAAAAATATGAGTCGAAGCAAATTGTTTTCTTTATGAAAATGACAAACCAATTCAAGGAATTTCTAATAAAGGTATTCAATTAGTTCGGACTCGTTCATATGAATTTAAAACATAAGTGAGGGTAGGATAGGGTGGAGTGGGCTAGGGGACCTATTTTTACCACCTTCAAGGAGCCATTGGTTTATTTCTCTTCCTACTTGTCTCTCTTATAATTCTTCATATTCTTGTACTTTGCATTAGCATTTTCTTAAGAAGTAAATACAATTAGATGGGGAATTGCCAGACTGTGGATGTTGCAGCATTAGTGATACAGCATCCTAATGGAAAACAAGAGAGAATTTATTCGCCAGTGACAGCTAGTGAGGTGATGCAAATGAATCCAGGACACTATGTTTCACTGATTATTTCATCGCCGATCACCGGAAAAGAGAATGCCGATGAAAAAACCGTTCGATATACGAGTGTTAAGCTTCTCCGGTCAAGTGATGCCTTAGTTCTTGGCCGGGCTTATCGGCTTGTCACCACACAAGGTTTGCACTTTTCCAGCTCTTCTCTCACTTTTTTCTTATTTTTTTATCAAAACAACTGATAATCGAGATTGTTTTGTACGAGTCATTTGGCTTATTTTTCATAAAAAAAATTAATTTTAGGATTTAAAGTTTTGATTTATATATTGATTTTGTCGCAGAGGTTATGAAAGTGCTGAGAGCAAAGAAAAGTGAAAAGATGAAGCAAAACCTGTCAGAATCGGCTGCCAATTTGAAGATGGATTTGCTGAACTTGCAGAGTTCTGGTTGCGGCTCCGAAGCAGGAAAATCTGCACTGGAGCAGAATGATCAGGTAATTTTTTAGATGACGATTGCTTATTGGTAAGGTCAACTCTATTAAAGATGAGAAACAAAGTTAACAATTTGACAATTTTAGGCCATGGGGAATGTCAGACATCGGCGAAGGTCAGGATCCACAAATTTGGCAGCTGCAAAGTCCAAATCTTGGCAGCCATCCCTCCGAAGCATTTCTGAGTCGGGAAACAGTATTGGATAGAATTGGACAGTACAATTAACAAGTTTTTAACTTAGTTTCTTTCTTAATATTATCTTGTTCAGGTCCTATCGAACGTGACGCAAGTGAACTTTAATTTCAAGATGCAGTAAAGCCCTAGAAGATGGTCAGAACATTTCTGTGGGCACTGTCATTCACGAGTTTAGAACTTGAAGAATGTTGGGCAATAATACTTTTGTACATGTAAAAGAAAAGACCATAGAAATGGAAACTATTTCTTGGCAAATACAGTAAAAATTCTTAAATTCCACTCGAGCCACCAACAAAAAACAAGAAGATTGTAAATGTTTAAATCAAAAAAGAATGGGACGACTATTGCAAGACTAGCTATATATGACCATTCTTTTTTTAAGCGGCCTCAAGAAAATAACTATCTCTTTAGAAAAGTCTAAGCAATGAGATATTCTGCTAAAAAATAGTTTATGGCGTGCATGATGCTCTAAGCAAAATCTAGACAAACAGAACTGGCTCGAAAAACTATTTTCCGTATAGTAACTCGTTTCTCAAAGTTTCGAAAAGTAAAATCTCCTCTCCCTTTAGTCGAGTTGAATTGAATCCACTCTTGCTCGAATTTTTTTCTATGAAAAATGAATTTTAGTTAGATGGTCATACTGCATATCGAAAAATCACTCTTAAAGACATTTGCCTAAATCTATAATCACCAACTACATAAATTTGTGGAAATTTAACAAAAATATCTGTGGATGGGCCAGCTTAACTTTAAAGGAAATTGATGCAAGTAGCACCGGTTTATGAATTTTAAATATTGCAATTTTAGCGCATCTTTGACGAAGATTGACTTTTTAAAAAAGAGCTGATAGAAAATATAAAAATAACAATCTCGACCTCCAATTGACTTCATACATACATATTTGAGAATAAATCAACAAATATGTATAGATAATTTTAACTAGTAATCC